CAGTTGAAATAATTGAGAGATCCCAAAGGTATCAGGTAGAAGAAGTTATTCCTTATAAGTAATAAAGAAAAACATAATAAAGAAAGGTTAAACAGTTTGTAATTTGAAGAGATGAATCAGATACTTTGCATATTTTCTGATCAAAAATATTAAGTTTAATAAATAAATAATCAAAATGGAAAGTGACCAAAAGCATTTGACATTCTTAACTAATATCCCGCTCAAGTCTACTTTGTCTGAGACTAGTTCATCTAAATCTAGTTCGTCAACTAAAAGTAATTCATCTGAGTCTTATTTATCTGAATCAAGTATATCTAAGATTAGTTCGCCTGAGACTAGCTCATCTGAATCCAATTCATCCGATTCTGATATTAATGAAATAGTAAATATGGTTAAGCATCAAAGGATTTAGAAGCGTTTAGCTCGAAGAAAAAATTCAGTAAAAAATGCATATAACAAAATAAGGCTATTAACTATCTAATAAATACCAAATCACAGTGATAGAAGTTGATCTCTTTAGGACCAGTTTATTTTTTATATTTGAATATTATATGCTATAATAAAAATGGTTCTTATAAATTGCTTAGTTGAAGAAACTGACCTTACCTAAGTAGTACTCGATACAAGCGCTGATGTAAGTTGTGTTAGTGAAAAATGTGTTGATGAAATAGAAATAGTATACGAAAAAGATGATATCAATCCTAAAGTAAACGGGATTTATTTCACATTAGGGAAGGTTAATCTATGTTGTATCTTTAATGATGGCAAGAAGTATAAAAGCATATCTACTGAATTCATAGTTGTCAGATCAGATTGGCTGGATCATTTTCCTGATTTAATCTTAGGAAAGCTATAATTGCGAGTAAATAGTACAACTTTAGATATATGCAGTTCAAAACTATTATTAGATGATAATTTTGTGATTCCATTCAAAAAAGTAAATTATATTTTGACATTATCTGATAGTCAAATCTGAGCTATGACTGATTTTTCTAATGCAACTGATAGCCTGAAATAGTGATCATCTGCTCAGAAGATTTTTTTTGATTGAAAGATATTCTAACCATATAAAAATGCATACAGTTAATTTATTAGAACAACTTCCGCCTGAATTAATATTATTTATTCTAAAGTATCTTCCAGAACAGGACCTAAAAAATTCTTGCAGTATAAATGATATATAGGAAAGAGAGGTGAATTATGTATTATCTAAAAGAATGAAATTTCAAATGTGAGGATTGACTTAGGGTAATTATATGGTAAAGGAATTTTATTCAAAATTGAAAAAGTGTAATTTAAGCAAAGACTATTCAGAATAGCTTCTTAAAATCTATTCCTCAGAGGATTATTACCTGAAAAGACGCTTAAAGTTCTTATTGATAGTTTATAGGGTCTTGCATTAGATAAAATAGTGGAAAGACTTAGTCTAGATCAGTGATTACGTAATTTTATTTTTCTGATTAAAAATTCTTCTAATCTATAAAATGCATAAAGCTAATTTACTTGATATACTTGCGTCTGAATTAATACCCTTTATTCTAAAGAATTTATCAACATAGGATCTCTATAATTGTAATAGTATAAATTAAATATAGAAAAAAGATGTTAATCTCAAAATGTTTAAAAGACCTGAAAGAGAACAACTTCTATATCGAGATCTCATATTTGAAAAGTTGTATTATCAGCCTAAAGGTTTTTATTAAACCGCCAAAAAAATGTGGGATATTTGTAAGAAGAAGTCTCTTTGGGATCAGATCGGATATAGGTTTACTCTTGCAGAAATTGAAGATTAGCTAAACAAACAGGCTATACATCAGTTAAAATTCAAGACTCTGCAGATGATTATTTGTCCATTCCATTTAGGCTGATTCAGAGCAGAAATCATCAGCTTAGAAGAATTTACTGATCTATGCATAGCATCTGTCTCTTCATTTTTTTCTTCAAGATTTTGAATTCACTCTTCTAAAGTCAAGATTATGGTTTGTAAAAAGAATAAAAGATATATTCAATCTATACCATCGGTAACTTCAACATCAGCCAATGAGACTCAGCCCAAAAGTGTAATAGTAACAGATATAAAATTGCAAGAACTTATTTGTCAAGGTCTATTAGTTGATGAATTTTATAAAGTATTATCATATGATCGAAAAAATATGCCTTGGATTGATAACTTTATTAATCTTTCGATTAAGCTCAAAAATTAATGCGATGATTTAAGAGAAAAGGCATATCACTTCTTAATGAAAGAACTTTTTAATATGAAGGCATTTCATGATGTATCCAGTCAAGATGAACTCATCTCCAAAGCAGAATATTATAGATACTTGTATAACTGATTTCATTATTCTAATAGGACAAGGTAAAAAAAGGATGGTTAAATTATGGATTAGTTGCATTATTACATCAACTGACAACTACGAAAATAGTGGTAGATTTATTTAATAATGCCAAAATAAAGGTCCTGAAATGTGTGGACAAATAATAATTTTCTAAAAGATATTTTCCCAAAGTCACGTAAATTTTCTTGGTAATTTTCAGCTGGACGTTCAGTCAAAATCACATATTTTATTCATTTTGAATATTTCATATTTTTATATAAAATTTATTGATATGTCTAACGCACAATCTAACAATTTATTAAAGAAATTAAATGCCAAGCTCTTAGTTAAGATTGCTAAGCTTAGGAAGGAGAATGCTAAAATTTCTAAACTTAAAAAAGAGAATAGTGAGATCTCTGAACTTAAAAGGAAGTTTGCAGAGATTGAGTCTAAGAAAGCTGAGTTTAAGGCCAGAATTGCTAAGCTTTTAAAACAGGCTGTGAAAAAGAGTAAAAGATGTGATGTTGAGAATGCAGAACTCAAGCCAGAATTGAGAAATTAGAGAAATATAAGACAGTTATTACTAAATTTGAATCTGAGAATGCTGGTTTAGAGATAGAATCATGAAAGTGGAACAGAAGCAGACTCTAAATGAGTTAAGAGACGCTTCACATAATTCTTCTAATATCAGTTCATCTAACTTCAATATAGTTGCAGATTATATTAGCAAAGTTAACTCGCATTATGAGAAACTGTTAGTGAATAGGAAAATGAATACTTTATTATCCGAAGAATCAATTCCAGAGGTGATTGCAAAGCAATTGGTATCAGCTATTAATATATCTGTTATAGACCAACATGATCAGACATCCTTAGAAGATAAGGAAATAAATGTTTTTTTAGATGAAGTGCATAAGAAAAAGATTAGTGATGAGATTAGATAACGCAATAAGAAGAAGAAACTTTAAGCTCAAGAGTCTCTTCCAATAGGATTCCAAAGGGATCAAAGACCTTAAGTTCTTAATTCAATTACTCAGCCATGCAATGGCATATCATCGGAAGCATCAGCTAATTCAGATATCGTGGAAATATCTCCAGAAGAGAAGATTAGTAGTGAACAAGATTCAAAGTACAAGAAGGAGAAGAGTGTTAATAAGCTTAAGCAAAAATTATTTGCTTTGGAATTGTCTTCACAAGAGCCATAATAGAACAAAATCATGTGATCAAAATTTCTGAGACATTACAGTCAAACTTTGATATAGTGAACTCTTGATATAGCCTTTACTATAGTGAACTAGCCAATTAAATTCTTTAAAAAATTCGTTATAAGCTTATAACGAAGTTGATATCCAGATCCTAGAATTCGTTATATCAAGAGTTCACTGTATGTCCCAGAAAAAATTTGCCTAAGAATACTTCACCAAAAACTAAGAATGACCAGATAAGTGCATCTATTCCTTCAACTCATAACTCTAATTCTTCAAGTAATTTCTCTAGGACTAGACCAGTACAAATGATTTCACCAGCTACATTTCAAGCAAGTGTATCACCTGTATCAATTCCTAGGACTAATTCAATTTATGACTGAGCCCATTTTTACAACAAAATATTGGATCAATATGCTACTTTATATAGAGAATTTAGTAGCGAAAATTTCAATTATTATGGAATTACTGATAAGACATCATGCTCATTGTGCAAGTTAGACCATGGCGATAAAGAAAGCATAAAAGGTAGATATAAAACTGGATCCTATTTTATTAAATGTGTACAGCGTGAAATTGAGATAACTGCATAGTCTCATTATTTTATAATACTACACTTCATTATGTGATATTTTTTTACAGGTCAACTACTACCTAATTAAATTTAAATTGATTTATATAAAAAGCAACATGACCAAGTCTAATAAAATATTAACTCCCAAATATCTGGATTGGCATGCCATATTAAATGGGTTACCAAGCGTTTTGACAGATATGATTCATATCAAATTATACAAAGGACATAAAAAGGAAACTGGATGTGAACATGGCAATTATCAGAAGCTGTGACAAGTGTATCAGCCAAACCTCAAAGGCCTCTGATTTCAAGCCTATCACTTATGAAGTCACACCCTATTCAGAATTAATTATCGAATCTGTCTTAGAGCATTTCACATACCTGAAATTCCGAAATAGTTTTAGGGGGATTGATAATTATAATTTTGCATTAGCTCAGCCATGGAACTCGCCATGCCCTATTTGTGATGGAAAACATGGGAATTATGGATTACATGGCTCATGGTACCGCAAAAATGGGAATCAGTTCCCTTATGATCCTGAATTAGCGAAGTTGTATTCCCAAGATAAGTTGGAATATTGTCTTACCTGCAACACTTCAAGCAATAAACTCAAGTTCGCAATTATAGCATAGAAGCTTTATCATGTACTCTTGCGCTTGTATTTATTTTTTTTATCACTTGCATGCATTAATAAGTACCGTCCTCGCTTATCACCTGATATTATGTAAAAACTACGACTCACTTTTTGTAATCGATATCGATATTAAGTCAGTTGCGTAACTGATCAACTGATAAGTCAGATCAATCTGTACGACAATCGATTTCTCTTATAAGTGAACTTCTTGTCCTAAATCATTGAATTTTCTTTCTCAAACTGTACTACTGTAATTGCACTAATTATGTCAAGTATCGCTTCCAGTTCTACAGCTAACGTTAAAGCAGAAATTAATCGCCTCGTTAAAGATGAAAATGAGAAAGCTATTTTACTTGCCCATTTCACCAAGTATAAAGATCAGAAAGATGACGCGTCCGTAGACCTTAATGATCTTGTTACGGATGAAGCTAAACTTGAATTTCTTAGGGCTTTCTTGCCTGGTATACTCTCAGATTCTCGTCTTTTCGTCCTATTCGCCAATAATACCGAATACTTACTTTTCTTGTGCCTTTCTTTCCTGTTTCTTATCGTCAAACTCGCCCAAAAAACACATTCGCGTTATCGTAGAACCCGTTGCTGGTAAGTGAGTCGTAATAAATAATTTTGTCAACGCGGGTGAACGCGAAATGGCTTGATCTTTCTTTCACAATAATATCGGATATTTCAAATATATACTGATTTTTTTTCGCTGTCATTTTCTTAGGTGGTAATCAAGAACAAGGTAATTTTCTGTTATGATTTTTATTTATTTCACAATATCTCATTTTCTTATCTTGCAGAATCTTTAAAAAGACATATTGAGAAAGTCGTCAAAGAAGAAGTAAGCGAACTTAGACGTGAGGTGAAAAAAGTACGTTATTTTGCAGAAGCATGGCTCAGTTTACCTGGTATGTTGTTCTTTCGATCCATAAACAATGTTTTGCAAATGCCATTCAATATGTCTTTGTCTTTAGGTATTGATACGGAAACTGATAAAGGCAAACGGGTAATGGATAAAGGTACAGTAATGAATTTCCCACTCCAACTGACCCAAATTCGTAGGCGAAATTCACATGGAAAGTTTCAGAAACCACCCAATCTTTCAGGCGCGAAACCAAGTGAGGATGAAATACAAGAATACTTCATGGATGAATGTACGGCATTAAAAGCATTACCAGAGATACAACTTTATGTTGAAGATACACATTCTACACCATTGCTGAATACTCGAAAGCCAGATTTTGTATTCATTCAAAAAGGAAGGCCTCTAGATCCATTGAATGTTGTAGCTGTCGGTGAAATAAGAAAGCGAACCGGTAATAATTTTAAAAGTGCTGATATAGGACACGCGGTAGCATTTGGTGAAAAAGTGCTCCAGCTTCAACCACGACGACAATATGTATATGCAGTATTGACGGATTGTATTATCATACGAATCTACAGAATAACTAGAGAAGACAATAATCAATTCTCATATAGATACACGGCGTCCGAGTCATTAACATATAACGCTTCCGAACCTCCGAAAGGATGGAAATATTTGGTGACAATCATGCAAAATTCTCCGGATCAGCTGGGATGGGTTGAACCTTCAATAAATCTTGATGGAAATACTGTAACATTGGTTCGATCTATTAGTTCAGGTAGAACTAGTATTGTATATGAGGGAATTCTTGAGGATAGGGAAAGTTCTGTAGTCGTAAAAAAAGCAAAGAGGGAAGAATACTTACCTTGCTTTATCAACGAAAAGGATGTATTGATTAAACTATCGGTTTTGAATTCACCTTATCTTCCAAAACTCCTTCTGAGCAACGATGATACTCTTGTTATGACTCCTCTATGCACTAAAGTCAATAACCTACAAATCAAAGATATTGAAAACATCATTGAAACCCTTAAGACGGTTCATTCAAATTTCCAGCTTGTACATGTGGACCTTCGAAAGTATAACTTCCTTCGTGATGATGATGGTAACATTTTAATAACTGACTGGGGATATAGTAAAGCACAAGGTGAAAACGCGCCATTTGCAGGTGCTCTTGAATGTATGCCCGATAATGTCCTTCGATCATTAATTAATGATGAACAAATTAATTATGGTCCAACAATCGATTTGATATGTCTGGTCCGGTCACTTTACCTGATGCTTCATCAACCATCATCGATTGAAAGGATCTCTTTTGAAATGATTCCAGAAAACTTTAAGAGACGAGTGCAAGATATATTAGATTTTTGGGCTGTTAATGGAAAATCCGAATGGTGGGATATAATCAGTTCTGATGCCAGGGATTTGGATTATGATAAATTACTTGAAGACATTAAAAAGTTGTTTTGACGTTTATGTTATAGTTAATCAATTATAGATTAATTTAGATTAAATAATATGAATTTTTATTTTTAATGTATTGCTAATAATAGTTACTGCTAAAGTAATGATCATCTTTGATTTTCGATTAAAATTATAAAGAATTGGTATTTGCTGAATATGCTATTTTTCACACGGATGGGTAATTACATAAAGATACATTTATTTTCAATGGTGTTCATTTTATAAACATCGCGCAGTACGATATCGGGAAAATTCTTGCCGAATGAATAGGGGCGAATCGCATATATATATATATTCACATCTCCGTTTTATATTTTTTTTCTAAGACCTGATTTGCATTTATTTTTGCGTGTCATGTCTTCGACCACGCTACTATCATACTAACAAAACAATATTTGGATGTAGACATTTTTCAGCAATCATTATTTCGCATATGGAATTTGGGGATGTGTATGCCAATCGTGAAGTCATCTTTATTGATTTGCAAGGGGGTTAATGAATGACGAAATGCAGTGCGTAATTGCTGGTGAAAATTAATCCCGAAGGGAATGTTTTCTCCTGGATATTTGCCAGGTGCTATAAAAACGAACTGGACCATGTTGACAAGAGGTATTGAAAAACGTATCATTTCCTTATTTCGATTTCTTATAGGGTAAATAATAGTAATATAATATAAATATAATATAAATATAAAAGGTTTATTACTTTTGCGAATTCCTTATTTAGATTCTTTTCTTCGTAATCCACCTCTATTTTTTCAAACCTCTCTTCAATCGTCTTTTGTCTCGTTAATAATTCTTCAATCTTCTCTTTTATTTCTGTATTTTGTCTTAAGATTCTCTCCAAAATTCTTGTAGTCCTATCTCTGTCTGTTTTGATTCTTTGATTAAAAATAATAAATTTAAATAAAATAAAAAAAATTATAAAAATAATTACCATCTAGGTCAATAAGACTATTTCTCCAAATGTTTGTGTAATCAGTCTCAAATGTTCTCTCCCTCATTCTCTTTGGTTGTGAAGTGGTGGATTCAGCTTCATCATTACGCCTTTTACTTCCCAAGACCAAATTACTGAAGATTGTTCTGGTTTTTGCAACAGATTTTGTGATTTTTGGCATTTTAAATTTCGAATTAAAAGAATTGCGTAGTTAATTGAGTTGATGTGTTGATGCAG